CGATTTGCCTATTAAGCCAAGTTTTCATGAATTAATTGTTTTTCGACTACCTAACCTACCTAACCTAACCTAACCTAACTTTTTCGGCTACCTAACCAAACCTAACCTATAAAGATAGGTTAGGTTAGGTTAGGTAGGGTTGGTTAGGTTTGGTCATATATCTACGTTAATTTTAACTTCAATAAAAAAAAATTGACCTAATACATAATGAAATGGGTAGCTTTATCATTTCATAAGAAAAAATTAGAGAAAATATATTAATTCAGGAAAACTTGGCTTATTAGGCAAATCGGGCCTTGCATAGTAGGCTGAGAAGTGCATTCTGGCTACTAGGTACGACATATATATATTTATATTTATATATATATATATATATATATATATATATATATATAAATATATATAAATATATATATATATATATATATATATATATATATATATATATATATATATATATATAATTTATATATATATATATATATATATATATATATATATAATTTATATATATATATATATATAATTATATATATATATATATATATATATATATATATATATATATATATATATATATATATATATATATATATATATATGAAACCCTACTGTCAGGTGTGAAAGCCTGACAGTAGGGTACTAGCCACTTGGGTACAGAAATAAAGGGTAAATGTAATAGGGGGAATGTAGTCTCAAGTTCAAGAGGACTAGAGGGGAGTATTGAAATCATTTTCTCCGCGCTAGGTGCAGGTGAGAACCCTGATGATCACAGCAGTTGGATAACCAGGTGTCCGAAGTACACACCTGCCTCTCTACTTCCCGCTCTTTGGGGACAGAAAGTATCCCAGTGAGTCCCCAGAGGTGCTGCAAGGTCCCTGTGTTTTGAGGGCTGGTGTTCACAGGGGTAAAGTGCCGACTTCGTCACCAGGGAAAGTGAGTACAGAGTCCGCAGTAAAGAGAGCCGTGACGGAGTGTCACCGCCGGAGCTCCACGAGGCTCTGCACCTGTCTTCCCCCGTGACAACATTTATTTGTACTACACTTGTCCTTGCGCAACACCTGTCCTCATGCTACACCTGTAGTGGTCCTACATCTGTAGTCGTGCTACACTTGTAGTCGTGCTACACCTGTAGTCGTGCAACACCTGTAGTCGTGCAACACCTGTAGTCGTGCAACACCTGTAGTCGTGCAACACCTGTAGTCGTGCTACACCTGTAGTCGTGCTACACCTGTAGTCGTGCAACACCTGTAGTCGTGCTACACCTGTAGTCGTGCAACACCTGTAGTCGTGCAACACCTGTACTCGTGCAACACCTGTAGTCGTGCAACACCTGTAGTCGTGCAACACCTGTAGTCGTGCTACACTTGTAGTCGTGCTACACCTGTAGTCGTGCAACACCTGTAGTCGTGCAACACCTGTAGTCGTGCAACACCTGTAGTCGTGCAACACCTTTAGTCGTGCAACACCTGTAGTCGTGCAACACCTGTAGTCGTGCTACACCTGTCATGCTACACCTGTAATCGTGCAACATCTGTACTCGTGCAACACATGTAGTCGTGCAACACCTGTAGTCGTGCAACACCTGTAGTCGTGCAACACCTGTAGTCGTGCTACACCTGTCATGCTACACCTGTAGTCGTGCTACACCTGTAGTCGTGCTACACCTGTAGTCGTGCTACACCTGTAGTCGTGCAACACCTGTAGTCGTGCAACACCTGTAGTCGTGCAACACCTGTAGTCGTGCAACACCTGTAGTCGTGCAACACCTGTAGTCGTGCAACACCTGTAGTCGTGCAACACTTGTAGTCGTGCAACACCTGTAGTCGTGCTACACCTGTAGTCGTGCTACACTTGTAGTCGTGCTACACCTGTAGTCGTGCTACACCTGTAGTCGTGCAACACCTGTAGTCGTGCAACACCTGTAGTCGTGCTACACCTGTCATGCTACACCTGTAGTCGTGCTACACCTGTAGTCGTGCTACACCTGTAGTCGTGCAACACCTGTAGTCGTGCAACACCTGTAGTCGTGCAACACCTGTAGTCGTGCAACACCTGTCATGCTACACCTGTAGTCGTGCTACACTTGTAGTCGTGCTACACCTGTAGTCGTGCAACACCTGTACTCGTGCAACACTTGTAGTCGTGCAACACCTGTAGTCGTGCAACACCTGTAGTCGTGCAACACCTGTAGTCGTGCAACACCTGTAGTCGTGCAACACCTGTAGTCGTGCAACACCTGTAGTCGTGCAACACCTGTAGTCGTGCTACACCTGTAGTCGTGCTACACCTGTAGTCGTGCAACACCTGTAGTCGTGCAACACCTGTAGTCGTGCAACACCTGTAGTCGTGCTACACCTGTAGTCGTGCAACACCTGTAGTCGTGCAACACCTGTAGTCGTGCAACACTTGTAGTCGTGCAACACCTGTAGTCGTGCAACACCTGTAGTCGTGCTACACCTGTAGTCGTGCAACACCTGTAGTCGTGCAACACCTGTAGTCGTGCAACACCTGTAGTCGTGCTACACTTGTAGTCGTGCTACACCTGTAGTCGTGCAACACCTGTAGTCGTGCAACACCTGTAGTCGTGCAACACCTGTAGTCGTGCAACACCTGTAGTCGTGCTACACCTGTAGTCGTGCTACACCTGTAGTCGTGCAACACCTGTAGTCGTGCAACACCTGTAGTCGTGCTACACCTGTAGTCGTGCTACACCTGTAGTCGTGCAACACCTGTAGTCGTGCAACACCTGTAGTCGTGCAACACCTGTAGTCGTGCAACACCTGTAGTCGTGCTACACCTGTAGTCGTGCAACACCTGTAGTCGTGCAACACCTGTACTCGTGCAACACATGTACTCGTGCAACACCTGTACTCGTGCAACACCTGTACTCGTGCAACACCTGTAGTCGTGCAACACCTGTACTCGTGCAACACATGTACTCGTGCAACACCTGTACTCGTGCAACACCTGTACTCGTGCAACACCTGTAGTCGTGCAACACCTGTACTCGTGCAACACATGTACTCGTGCAACACCTGTAGTCGTGCAACACCTGTAGTCGTGCAACACATGTACTCGTGCAACACCTGTAGTCGTGCAACACATGTACTCGTGCAACACCTGTACTCGTGCAACACCTGTACTCGTGCAACACATGTACTCGTGCAACACCTGTACTCGTGCAACACCTGTACTCGTGCAACACCTGTACTCGTGCAACACATGTACTCGTGCAACACCTGTACTCGTGCAACACATGTACTCGTGCAACACATGTACTCGTGCAACACCTGTACTCGTGCAACACATGTAGTCGTGCAACACCTGTACTCGTGCAACACATGTACTCGTGCAACACATGTACTCGTGCAACACCTGTACTCGTGCAACACCTGTACTCGTGCAACACCTGTACTCGTGCAACACATGTAGTCGTGCAACACATGTACTCGTGCAACACCTGTACTCGTGCAACACCTGTACTCGTGCAACACATGTACTCGTGCAACACCTGTACTCGTGCAACACCTGTACTCGTGCAACACATGTACTCGTGCAACACCTGTACTCGTGCAACACACATGTACTCGTGCAACACCTGTACTCGTGCAACACCTGTACTCGTGCAACACATGTACTCGTGCAACACCTGTACTCGTGCAACACCTGTACTCGTGCAACACATGTACTCGTGCAACACATGTACTCGTGCAACACCTGTACTCGTGCAACACCTGTACTCGTGCAACACCTGTACTCGTGCAACACATGTACTCGTGCAACACATGTACTCGTGCAACACATGTACTCGTGCAACACCTGTACTCGTGCAACACCTGTACTCGTGCAACACATGTACTCGTGCAACACATGTACTCGTGCAACACCTGTACTCGTGCAACACCTGTACTCGTGCAACGCCTAAAGCTGGAAATATGTGAAGAAAATTGAACAGAATACAAAATAGCTTTAAGCTTCAACAAATGCGTATATCACGTCATGCCTCAGGTGGTAGTGAAGCAACACTAACAGTCCAGCCCCAGCACCTGTTGGACTCCCGTCATGCCTCAGGTGGTAGTGAAGCAACACTAACAGTCCAGCCCCAGCACCTGTTGGACTCTCGTCATGCCTCAGGTGGTAGTGAAGCAACACTAACAGTCCAGCCCCAGCACCTGTTGGACTCACGTCATGCCTCAGGTGGTAGTGAAGCAACACTAACAGTCCAGCCCCAGCACCTGTTGGACTCCCGTCATGCCTCAGGTGGTAGTGAAGCAACACTAACAGTCCAGCCCCAGCACCTGTTGGACTCACGTCATGCCTCAGGTGGTAGTGAAGCAACACTAACAGTCCAGCCCCAGCACCTGTTGGACTCACGTCATGCCTCAGGTGGTAGTGAAGCAACACTAACAGTCCAGCCCCAGCACCTGTTGGACTCTCGTCATGCCTCAGGTGGTAGTGAAGCAACACTAACAGTCCAGCCCCAGCACTTGTTGGACTCTCGTCATGCCTCAGGTGGTAGTGAAGCAACACTAACAGTCCAGCCCCAGCACCTGTTGGACTCTCGTCATGCCTCAGGTGGTAGTGAAGCAACACTAACAGTCCAGCCCCAGCACCTGTTGGACTCTCGTCATGCCTCAGGTGGTAGTGAAGCAACACTAACAGTCCAGCCCCAGCACCTTTTGGACTCTCGTCATGCCTCAGGTGGTAGTGAAGCAACACTAACAGTCCAGCCCTAGCACCTGTTGGACTCTCGTCATGCCTCAGGTGGTAGTGAAGCAACACTAACAGTCCAGCCCCAGCACCTGTTGGACTCGTCCATCTCTGACAAACGGAAGGATCCGCCTCCTTCTTTTTTTTATGTATGCAACATGGAACACTATTAATCCAGTTTTATCCTCTAATATCAAACAAAAACACTGGAAAGCCTGAGTCGTTGCTTGGCTTAAACGGTGAACCAGATAAATGTATATATATATGGCGCGCAGTCATCATTTAACATGAACTACACGCTCATGAAAAATTATGCTGTCGAGGAAAAAACTTTGTTGTTTGGGAGAACAAACTTTGACGCTACGGAGCGAACAATGCTGCCAGGGGATGAGGACCAATGCCGTCACGGGGTAAACTATGCTGTACAGTGAGTGCCGGGTAGAGGGACGAGTCTGTACGCAGTGTTGGAAAGCAATCAGGCGATTGCAGAGCAAACACTCAATTAGTGGCTGGTACAGGTGGTGGTGGAAGTGGTGTAGGTGGCGGTGGTTTAATAGGTTGTAGTGGATGTGGGTGTTGCTGGTGGTGGCTGTTGTGGTGATGGTGATGTAAGTGGTGGCGATGTTAGTAGCTGTTGTTGTGGTGGTGGTAAATGGAGGTTGGTGGTGACATAGATGACGGTGGCGATGTGTGTTAATGGGTGTGAGGGCTGGATTTTGTAGGTGTGGGGGGGGGGGGGATTTGTTGTTGAGGTGGTGAAGATACAAGTTTTTTTTTATTATTATTATTACATTTACATGCAAGGCATGCCAAGAAATACAATAAATACAATAAAACAAGGTCGTGAGAACGAAACATAACACCAGCCTGAAAGGCGCACAATAATTTCAACACATAGCATAACAAACCACAGGTCTCATCACACACCAGTCACAGACTACTCAAACTGCTCATACTTATCCGGCCACTCCGCCGCCGGGAATCGAGCACAACACGCCTCCCAAAGCAACATGATGTTATCCGGAACAGGTTTACTATGAACCGTACGAGGATCAGGCATCAACTCCGGCACACCCACAACAAAACACCGAGCCCGCGGAACCCAGATGGAAGAAGGGCTCCATGGAACAGGATGCACGCGGTCAACAATGTCAAACAGCAAGGGGTTATTAGCATCATGCGCCACGCCGGAGGCCAAGATGAGAGGGAGGGGCTGCTTCCCACGGGGCCGGGTAATGGGCAGCGCACTGGGAGCCTTCTCGGCTACCTCACAGGTCCCCGCGTCAACCACCGGACGGTGCACCTGCCGGGACCCCCACGCCGGGCATCCTTCCTCAGCACCAGCACGAGGCCACGGCTCGCACCAGCACCCTCACCACCCACGTCCGTAGGAGCGACCACCCCCCACTGCGGAGAACCTTCTGCAGAAGAAAGAACAGGAGGTAAATCAAATGAACAAACATTGTCATCAGCAGGCACATGGACGTTAGCAACCATCATCGACGTAGAGCACGAAGCACCCGCAACCACCACATCATCGCCCGAAGACCCACCGGCGTCGAAATCCTCCACATCAGCCCAAGCAGTAGAAGAACGCCGGGAACACTTGGGCTCCGGCCACACATCCTCAGAGCCGGAGGCGGACCCAGAACCACGGGCTTCACAAGCCGTGCGAACCGATGCCAATCGCAGAACGGCAACAGCCTCAACCACAGGGGGAACCGGGCCGCACACATCAGGATGCTCCACAGCCCCCCCAGCACCCAGCACAGCCGTGACACCTGGCAAGGGCGCAGGGCCAGTCACAGCAGTAGGAGACGAGGAAGATGAAGACGTCGACGACTTGCAGAGACCATCCGGAAGACCCACGGGAGCAGCTGGGACAGCGACAGGAGCAGGAAAATCAGCTGACGGCACCATAACACCCGGAGGAGGGGCCGCATCATCCGGAGGACCGCCGGGCGACACAGGGGGAGCCGCATCTCGCCAACAGGACATCCACATCCTCGCCCATGGAATCCATCCCAACAGGGAGCGGCGGGAAATCATCCTCCCGGAACAGGTTCACAGGAGTGACTGCAGCCCCAGAGCACCCGGCAGCCTAATGCCCCAACAGGCCACACTGAAAACAGGTACGGGGTTGCCGGGCATAGTATACCCGGACGTAGTACCCCAGAAGCTGGACTGAAGAAGGAATGTCCGACCTCAGGCGCATCCCAAGGGTACGAATATTCATAAACATACCCTTATACCTTCCCGAGGACAGCGTGTTCACCCGCACACTGACGACAGCGCCAAACTGCTGGAAGTAACGCCGGAGTAGGTCCTCGGGAAACTCCAAGGACGCCCCATGCACACTCACATATGTCAGGGCACCACTACGGTCCGTAATGGCCACAGAGCCGGCACCATCCGGCAGCGACAAGGAACGCCCCTAATAACGGCGGATCAACTCACGATATACCTCCTCCCTCACTATTTTGACAATAACCCGGTGAGCAGTTACCAGCTCAACTCCGTAGACGTCATCCACTGGGACACGGAACATGTCACACATGACAAGCTCAACTACAGGGTAACCAACACGGCCTGTAAACTCCAGGCCCACGGAGTTCACTCTCACAACAAGGAAAAGAAGGCCTCCCATCACAAGCGTGCCTCGTCAACACCAGCCAAGCAGCAAGTGCAGGTAGGGTGGAGAAGCCCACACCCCCAGCCGCTCGGCAAACAACTACCAACTACTGGAGGGCTCAGGCAACACGTCTACACCCCACGGCAGCTAGGGCGCAATTCCTGTTGGTGAAGATATAAGTAGATGATATGGTAGCTTAGCGAGGACCTTTTGCTTTTTGGAAAAGCCATTGCTAAGTTGCAACCCATTTTTGGGTAAATTTTGTCAGTCTCAATTTGCCGCTGTGGACTTGCACAGATCTTATGGGGGAAAATACTCTTTACCAGTTAAGGAATTCTTATGGAGAAAATAGGTCTTTACTCTACTAAAAGTTTAGGAGTAAAGTTAAGGTCGGAGAAAGACTATTTTCAAAGAATTTGTTCATTAGAAGTTTGCTAAGTAATTCCCAGTATCAGATGGACCCGTATTCTTGGACCCGGCTCTATACGTTTATAAGTATAGTTTCGCTATTAACAGTTTAATTTCCCTGAAATTTAAAACAATCATATTTCCAACGTAGTAAGAAAAGAAAAAAGAGTTACCGAGTTTTAGCTCGCCTCCTCCGCTTTACTTCACTCTCATAACGTCGCTACTAATTGCCCAATTTTCCCAATATAGTAAATTTCACAGTATAGCCCATTTTTTTAGCCCAATATAGTAAATAAGGTCAAGGTAGTTACCGAGTTCCGGCACTCGCCCTTACCCTTAGTTTGCTCCTCTAAGTTTGTTATTAACTATTCAATTTTCCTAAGATTTAAAAGGTATTTATTTCCGACATTGTAAAATAGAACAATTCAGTTTAAGTTATTCCGCCTTACTTCAGTGTTCATCAGAACATAGTTATTTCAGAACAACAACAGACCAGCTCCTGCCCGTTGCGTTTATCTCAGTAAACATGTTTCCCAGATTACTGTACATACTTATCATTGTAGGTACACATGAATCATCACCTCTCATGTGTAGGTACACACGAGTCATCACCTCTCATGTGTAGGTACACACGAGTCATCACCTCTCATGTGTAGGTACACACGAGTCATCCCCTCTCTTGTGCAGGTACTCACGAGTCATCACCTCTCATGTGTAGGTACACATGAGTCATCACCTCTCATGTGTAGGTACACACGAGTCATCACCTCTCATGTGTAGGTACACATGAGTCATCACCTCTCAAGTGTAGGTACACACGAGTCATCACCTCTCATGTGTAGGTACACATGAGTCATCACCTCTCATGTGTAGGTACACACGAGTCATCACCTCTCATGTGTAGGTACACATGAGTCATCACCTCTCATGTGTAGGTACACATGAGTCATCACCTCTCATGTGTAGGTACATACGAGTCATCACCTCTCATGTGTAGGTACACACGAGTCATCACCTCTCATGTGTAGGTACACACGAGTCATCACCTCTCATGTGTAGGTACACACGAGTCATCACCTCTCATGTGTAGGTACACACGAGTCATCACCTCTCATGTGTAGGTACACACGAGTCATCACCTCTCATGTGTAGGTACACATGAGTCATCACCTCTCATGTGTAGGTACACACGAGTCATCACCTCTCATGTGTAGGTACACACGAGTCATCACCTCTCATGTGTAGGTACACACGAGTCATCACCTCTCTTGCAATAGTCGTGTGTGTGAGTATATATGTGTGTATGTAAACACTTAGGTAGGGTTAACCGGCCTTAACAGGCCTTATCTCTCAAACCATTTCTCCCCTAACCTCCCGCAACACCTGCCTCCCCCTTCATCATCACACCCGCGCCCGTCCGCTCGCTTATCTCCTCCCCGTGCCCTTATCTCTCCCCCTCCCTCACCCCTCAGCTCCCCGTGCCCTTATCTCCCCCCTCCCTCACCCCTCAGCTCCCCGTGCCCTTATCTCCCCCCTCCCTCATCCTTCAGCTACCCGTGCCCTTATCTCCCCCCTCTCTCACCCCTCAGCTCCCCGTGCACTTATCTCCCCCCTCCCTCACCCCTCAGCTTCCCGTGCCCTTATCTCCCCCTCCCTCACCCCTCAGCTCCCCGTGCACTTATCTCCCCCCTCCCTCACCCCTCAGCTCCCCGTGCCCTTATCTCCCCCCCCCTCTCACCCCTCAGCTCCCCGTGCACTTATCTCCCCCTCCCTCACCCCTCAGCTCCCCGTGCCCTTATCTCCCCCTCCCTCACCCCTCAGCTCCCCGTGCACTTATCTCCCCCCTCCCTCACCCCTCAGCTCCCCGTGCCCTTATCTCCCCCTCCCTCACCCCTCAGCTCCCCGTGCACTTATCTCCCCCCTCCCTCACCCCTCAGCTCCCCGTGCCCTTCTCTCCCCCCCCTCCCTCACCCCTCAGCTCCCTGTGCCCTTATCTCTCCCTCTCCCTCATCCCTCAGCTCCCCCTGCCCTTATCTCCCCTCCTCAGCTCCCCGTGCACTTATCTCCCCCCTCCCTCACCCCTCAGCTCCCCGTGCCCTTATCTCCCCCCTCCCTCACCCCTCAGCTCCCCGTGCCCTTATCTCCCCCTCCCTCACCCCTCAGCTCCCCGTGCCCTTATCTCCCCCTCCCTCACCCCTCAGCTCCCCGTGCCCTTATCTACCCCTCCCTCACCCCTCAGCTCCCCGTGCCCTTATCTACCCCCTCCTTCACCCTTCAGCTCCCCGTGCCCTTATCTCCCCCCCTCCCTCACCCCTCAGCTCCCCGTGCCCTTATCTACCCTCCTCCCTCACCCCTCAGCTCCCCGTGCCCTTATCTACCTCCTCCCTCACCCCTCAGCTCCCCGTGCCCTTATCTCCCCCTCCCTCACCCCTCAGCTACCCGTGCCCTTATCTCCCCCCCCTCCCTCACCCCTCAGCTCCCCGTGCACCTATCTCCCCCCTCCCTCACCCCTCAGCTCCCCGTGCCCTTATCTCCCCCCCTCCCTCACCCCTCAGCTCCCCGTGCACTTATCTCCCCCCTCCCTCACCCCTCAGCTCCCCGTGCACTTATCTCCCCCCTCCCTCACCCCTCAGCTCCCCGTGCACTTATCTCCCCCCTCCCTCACCCCTCAGCTCCCCGTGCCCTTATCTCCCCCCTCCCTCACCCCCTCAGCTCCCCGTGCCCTTATCTCCCCTTCCCTCACCCCTCAGCTCCCCGTGCCCTTATCTCCCCCTCCCTCACCCCTCAGCTCCCCGTGCCCTTATCTACCCCTTCCTCACCCCTCAGCTCCCCGTGCTTTTATCTACCCCCTCCTTCACCCTTCAGCTCCCCGTGCCCTTATCTCCCCCCCTCCCTCACCCCTCAGCTCCCCGTGCCCTTATCTACCCTCCTCTCTCACCCCTCAGCTCCCCGTGCCCTTATCTACCCCCTCCCTCACCCCTCAGCTCCCCGTGCCCTTATCTCCCCCTCCCTCACCCCTCAGCTCCCCGTGCCCTTATCTACCCTTCTCCCTCACCCCTCAGCTCCCCGTGTCCTTATCTTCCCTCTCCCTCACCCCTCAGCACCCCGTGCCCTTATCTCCCCCCTCCCTCACCCCTCAGCTCCCCGTGCCCTTATCTCCCCCCTCCCTCACCCCTCAGCTCCCCGTGCCCTTATCTCCCCCCTCCCTCATCCCTCAGCTCCCCGTGCCCTTATCTACCCCCTCCCTTACCCCTCAGCTCCCCGTGCCCTTATCTCCCCCTCCCTCACCCCTCAGCTCCCCGTGCCCTTATCTACCCTTCTCCCTCACCCCTCAGCTCCCCGTGTCCTTATCTCCCCCTCCCTCACCCCTCAGCTCCCCGTGCCCTTATCTACCCCTCCCTCACCCCTCAGCTCCCCGTGCCCTTATCTACCCCCTCCTTCACCCTTCAGCTCCCCGTGCCCTTATCTCCCCCCCTCCCTCACCCCTCAGCTCCCCGTGCCCTTATCTACCCTCCTCCCTCACCCCTCAGCTCCCCGTGCCCTTATCTACCTCCTCCCTCACCCCTCAGCTCCCCGTGCCCTTATCTACCCTTCTCCCTCACCCCTCAGCTCCCCGTGTCCTTATCTCCCCCTCCCTCACCCCTCAGCTCCCCGTGCCCTTATCTACCCCTCCCTCACCCCTCAGCTCCCCGTGCCCTTATCTACCCCCTCCTTCACCCTTCAGCTCCCCGTGCCCTTATCTCCCCCCCTCCCTCACCCCTCAGCTCCCCGTGCCCTTATCTACCCTCCTCCCTCACCCCTCAGCTCCCCGTGCCCTTATCTACCTCCTCCCTCACCCCTCAGCTCCCCGTGCCCTTATCTACCCCCTCCTTCACCCTTCAGCTCCCCGTGCCCTTATCTCCCCCCCTCCCTCACCCCTCAGCTCCCCGTGCCCTTATCTACCCTCCTCCCTCACCCCTCAGCTCCCCGTGCCCTTATCTCCCCCCTCCCTCACCCCTCAGCTCCCCGTGCCCTTATCTCCCCCCCTCCCTCACCCCTCAGCTCCCCGTGCACTTATCTCCCCCCTCCCTCACCCCTCAGCTCCCCGTGCACTTATCTCCCCCCTCCCTCACCCCTCAGCTCCCCGTGCACTTATCTCCCCCCTCCCTCACCCCTCAGCTCCCCGTGCCCTTATCTCCCCCCTCCCTCACCCCCTCAGCTCCCCGTGCCCTTATCTCCCCTTCCCTCACCCCTCAGCTCCCCGTGCCCTTATCTCCCCCTCCCTCACCCCTCAGCTCCCCGTGCCCTTATCTACCCCTTCCTCGCCCCTCAGCTCCCCGTGCTTTTATCTACCCCCTCCTTCACCCTTCAGCTCCCCGTGCCCTTATCTCCCCCCCTCCCTCACCCCTCAGCTCCCCGTGCCCTTATCTACCCTCCTCTCTCACCCCTCAGCTCCCCGTGCCCTTATCTACCCCCTCCCTCACCCCTCAGCTCCCCGTGCCCTTATCTCCCGCTCCCTCACCCCTCAGCTCCCCGTGCCCTTATCTACCCTTCTCCCTCACCCCTCAGCTCCCCGTGTCCTTATCTTCCCTCTCCCTCACCCCTCAGCACCCCGTGCCCTTATCTCCCCCCTCCCTCACCCCTCAGCTCCCCGTGCCCTTATCTCCCCC